ACTCCACTTCGACAGGCTCGGTCTCCCTGTCCCGAGAACGAATCAACGAGATTGTTGAATCGGTAAGATGTTTTCATAAAAATTCAATTCATTTATTTCTTTATTTTTATTTTCTAATATTTTTATTACTAAAATTTGTTTATTTTCTTTTTCAGTCGGTTCCAACGAAGAAGGGACGTTTGATCGGTTTGGGTCGTCGTTCCAAATCGGTTCCTCCTACATCACAACCGCCTATTGATCCAATGGTTATGGAGCAGCTGCAGGACAAGGATGCCCGCATAGCTGCGTTGGAGGCGAAGATGGAGGAACAAGAGAAGGGGTGGGAGGCATCGAGAAAGCAGAACGAGGCCATGATGGAGATGATGAAGCGGATGTACCCGAACGAGCAATTCCCGTAGTTTTTTTTTTCAAAAACTCTAAATGTTTTTTTTATTTGAACTACTCTATTATCTAATATATTTTCAGTTTACAATTTTATTTTATATTTTCGAATTTTAATTAAAAAACAATAATTTATAATTAAAAAAATATAAATTTTGGAAAATTCCGAGGAACTGGGCTTCCTTGAAATTTTCCGAGGAAATTGAGTCCTCGGAAATTGAGTCCTCGGAATTTTCCGAGGAAATTGAGTCCTCGGAAATTTTGGAAAATTCCGAGGAAGCCCAGTTCCTCGGAATTTTCCGAGGAACTTGTTTGTCGGAAAATTCCGATGACATGATGTCCTCAGAAAATTCTGACGAATCCTGTCGTCAGAATTTTCCGATAACATCTATCCCTCGGAATGTTTCCATCGGTAAAATCTGAGGGAATTCCGAGGAAACGTCTGACGAAACTGTTTGTCGGAATGTCCTCGGAATTGTGGTTCTCGGTATTTCTTCAGAATTTTCCGAGGAAATTCCGAGAAAACTGGAATTTCCGACGAAAATTTTCCGACGAAAATTTTCCGACGACCGGTTTCGTCAGTATATCTTCGGAATACCTATATTCCGACGACATTCCGACGAATTTTTCCGTCAGAATCGCCGTGTTTTCTTGTAGTGATATAAGCAAATACGCTCTTGTGGTGTAATCATTCACGGTCATAAGACTCATAACTAAGTACACTATTGATACATCAAATACAATCAAGAGAGAGAAACAAATATCAAATGGAGAGTCAGAGCAAGTGGGGAGGCTTAATGAATAGAGTGAAGCCATACTTAGCAATGTTATCTTTGCAATTTGGTTATGCCGGTATGTACATAATCACCATGGTGTCTCTTAAGCATGGCATGAATCATTACATCCTGGCCGTTTACCGCCATGCAATCGCCACGGTCGTCATGGCTCCGTTTGCTCTATATTATGAAAGGTATTTATGATTCTTTTTTTCTTATTTGTGAATTACTTAACGGACAGAAAATTCTAGATAAAAGCTCTATACTACTACTACTACTATTGTGTGCACTGAATTATATTGTGTCATAAATTCTTAACAAACACAAAATATATGTGCGTCATAGATTGCTTTCAGGCAAAACTCAAGATAAATAAAATAGATAATTGACCGTATATATCTAAGGTCGTACATACAAGTTTTAATGTTGTACATAAATGAATTAAAGGAAGTATGTAATTTTTTTATTGTTACGGTTATGCAGGAAAACAAGGCCGAAGATGACGTTACGAATATTCCTTCAAATTGCGCTGCTTGGATTCATTGAGTAATACTCGTCTTTTAGTCTCATATTTTTCACAATAAATAAAAAGTAGTATAAGATTTAATCTCCGCAGATTTTATTTTTTTTATAATTTAATGCAGTTCTTATGTAGTTGATAAAAATATAAGTAGTGATATATGATCAACAAAAGTTCATTAAATGAGTGTTAATAAAATGATAGGCCGGTGCTGGATCAGAATCTCTACTACGTCGGGATGACTTTACACCTCAGCAACTTTCGCATCTGCTACCGCTAATGTCCTCCCCGCCATCACCTTCGTCTTGGCCATCATTTTCAGGTTTACATTATTTTTCATTATTCTTGTAAATAAATTCATCAAACATTTCAAGCTTAGATTCGTATTGACTCCATCAGAAAATTAAAAATGTTTCCAATCAGAAAACTAATTTTTTTCTTCTTATCAACTTGTTAATGAGATACTCAGTACCGGCCCTGAGGGGAAGCATTACAAGCAACCGCTTCTGGCCCTCAAAAAATACTTGAAAAATTCAGCCTTTTTTATAAGAAAATTATTATTATAGTATATAAATGTTCTTATAAAAATGGCCAATTTTTTGAAAATTGATTCTGGTCTTTCCCATGTCAGGACCGGTACTGGAGATACTTACCGATAGTAAATAGTTTTTCGGTTGGTAAATGAATTGTCCTCCTTTATTCTCTTTGATGCTTATTTCGAGAATTAACTTTTTGACTTTTAATTCCCATGCCGTGGGAACAAGATTATAGTTAATGGAATCATAGGTAAACACAGTTATTAGTATTGAATTAAATAAATAAATTAATTATTTATTCTAGCTTCTCTAGTAAACCAAGTATGTTTGGTTACTAGAATAAGAATACTCTATCTCTTTATAACTCTTTGTAACGTTATTTTTGAGATCTAAGGAAAAAGTTTCTCCTTCTTTACTCTTTTATCTCCTCTCTCTCTTGTTCTTCAATCTCAAAGCTTCACTTTCTTACATGGTATCAGAGCTATAAACTCTTGAGTACCTATTTTGCTTCCGCGATTTAACTCTGATATTCTATTCTATTTGATTTATCAATCTACTCCTTCTATTTTCTTTCCAGATCTATTTTTTTTTTGTGGATAAGAAATCTGTGTTCTTGAGTTGTAAAATTTCAGTGACTGTTTTTCCTTGGCTTCTTTGTGTAACCAGTGGGTAATAGTCTCTGAAGATGAATCAATTCATACAAGTCAAGATTCCTGTTGTTCTCAAGGGAGGAGAAAACTACATCACTTGGTCTAGATTGGCCAAAACAGCCCTTGGAGGAAGAGGTCTTTGGGAGCATATCACCTCAAGTTCTGCACCAAGGCAAATCACCCAAGGAGAAGAT